GTCAGTTGTCCACCTGAGCCACCGATGTGATTGGCTAAACTCTTAGATGAAAAATGTTACCTTCTGATTGGTCAAATGAAGAGTAGTAGGGATCTGTGTCGAGAACTAAGTGAACTTAGATTCACTTACTTAGAACTTAGAACTTAGATTAGAACTAAGTGATAAGATTTCCTATAACTTCTAAGGTCAAACTGTGACCATATTGTGGATAATAACATTGCTGTATTATTATTTGGGCTGGACGGTAGAGCGACGGTCTCGCTTCATGCAGGTCGGCGTTCAATCCCCGACTGTCCAAGTGGTTGGGCATCATTCCTTTCCCACCGTCCCATCCCAAATCCTTATCCTGACCCCTTCCAAGTGCTATATAGTCGTAATGGCTTGGCGCTTTCCCCCTGATAATTCCCTCCTGCATTCACCTGGACACTAGGAGCCTCGAACCCCCGACCACATATACACATTTGTGTTCGCAATCGTTTATATAGATAGTTTATATAGAAGTTTAGCAATGTGGCGCTGCTGAATCTCTATATAAACTTCTGCTGGACATGTTTAAACAGCCCCGCTCCTGTGTCAGGTAAGTCCACTACGGGCTCACCATAGCCCGTGCTACTTGCCCCGCTCCTGTGCCAGGTTAGTCCACTACGGGCTCACCATAGCCTGTGCTACTTGCCCCGCTCCTGTGTCAGGTAAGTCCACTACGGGCTCACCATAGCCCGTGCTACTTGGAACTTGTTCCGAGTAGCTGAATCTTTAACAACAAAAACATGTTTAAAGACGGTTTTATTTTTGGGGGCCTCGGTCTTTGAGGAATAACTTGAGAATATCTTTCTAATGGCTTTCTAACAACGTCGATTGGTACAGCGACGGCATCGCTTGTTGGACGATCGGCGTTCGATCCTCAAATGATCCAAGTGGTGGGGGGTCACCGTTCCTTCACTGTCCTTGTATAGTGATGCACCAAGGCACTGCACAGTGCCCTGAGGCGTCCAGGTGATCATCACCTAGTGAGGAGATGGTCACTGTAGCCTCCTCCTAGTAATTGTTCTAAACCTCTTACGAATTTCGTAATAAATTAGGGATAGTTGTTAAGATTTAAGACTGAGGAAGGCACACAGTAACGCCCTGGATTCTACACATACTTCTGCACAAGGTTATGTGTATTGTGAATATGAAGAGGCACAGAGGTAGGAGAAGGGAGGAGAGGAGAGAGAGAGAGAGAGAGAGAGAGAGAGAGAGAGAGAGAGAGAGAGAGAGAGAGAGAGAGAGAGAGAGAGAGAGAGAGAGAGAGAGAGAGAGAGAGAGAGAGAGAGATAGAGAGAGAGAGAGAGAGAGAGAGAGAGAGAGAGAGAGAGAGAGCGAGAGAGAGAGAGAGAGAGAGAGAGAGAGAGAGAGAGAGAGAGAGAGAGAGAGAGAGAGAGAGAGAGAGAGAGAGAGGAAGGTTGCGGAGCGCCGTGGTGTGATAAGTGTTCCTGATCTTATATCACTCTGGGTACAAATGTCACGCTTTCAAACGTTATTATTTATGGTTGTGACCAATGGTGCGGCCACACTGTACAGTGATGGTTGTGACCAATGGTGCGGCCACACTGTACAGTGATGGTTGTGACCAATGGTGCGGCCACACTGTACAGTGGTGGTTGTGACCAATGGTGCGGCCACACTGTACAGTGATGGTTGTGACCAATGGTGCGGCCACACTGTACAGTGATGGTTGTGACCAATGGTGCTGCCACACTGTACAGTGATGGTTGTGACCAATGGTGCGGCCACACTGTACAGTGATGGTTGTGACCAATGGTGCGGCCACACTGTACAGTGATGGTTGTGACCAATGGTGCGGCCACACTGTACAGTGATGGTTGTGACCAGCGAGACTTAACCAGGCCATCACTCCTCCTATCTCCGTAGTTTACCCATCATCCTCATCATCATCCTCATCATCATCATCATCATCATTATACACATATTCCAACAACCAACGTTCTTCAAGGTATGATTTTCCTGGCATTTGACTTCAGATAATTTTCGCGCGCGTGTTGGGTCACGTGACCGCCAACTGGCTATGGTAGTTACAGCACTAACTACTGTGGTAGTTACAGCACTAACTACTGTGGTAGTTACAGCACTAACTACTGTGGTAGTTACAGCACTAACTACTGTGGTAGTTACAGCACTAACTACTGTGGTAGTTACAGCACTAACTACTGTGGTAGTTACAGCACTAACTACTGTGGTAGTTACAGCACTAACTACTGTGGTAGTTACAGCACTAACTACTGTGGTAGTTACAGCACTAACTACTGTGGTAGTTACAGCACTAACTACTGTGGTAGTTACAGCACTAACTACTGTGATAGTTACAGCACTAACTACTGTGGTAGTTACAGTCTCTTCATATTGCCTCCTTAACTCGACTACTGGAAGCTTAGGATGAGGATGTGATCTATAGTATTCATAACGGGTAGTTTTGAGATATATATATACAAGAGATATATAGAAGAGTTGTTACATTCTTGTACAGCCGCTAGTACGCGTAGCGTTTCGGGCAAGTCCTTAATCCTATGGTCCCTGGAATACGATCCCCTGCCGCGAAGAATCGTTTTTTCATCCAAGTACACATTTTACTGTTGCGTTAAACAGAGGCTACAGTTAAGGAATTGCGCCCAGTAAATCCTCCCCGGCCAGGATACGAACCCATGACATAGCGCTCGCGGAACGCCAGGCGAGTGTCTTACCACTACACCACGGAGACTGCTTAGTTAACTAACATTTGGCATTCCTCCATTTTTTTTAATGCCGTTAGTTTTTTTAGTTACACAACTAAATAAAAATAAAATAAATAAAATAAAATGTTTATTTAGGTAAGGTACATACAAGAAATTTTTAATGTTTGTAAATAGGAAATGCTTAATTTTTGGGGGGAGAAAACCGGTGGGTTTGTTAAGAAACCGCTCGGTTTATTGAGTGGTAAACATTGTCGGTTCTATTATATAATAATTGGGACAGTTTGTTATAAAATATAGCGACTTTCTTCTTTTTAGAACGTTTAATTTTGATATATAAACAAAGAACTGGTTCGTTATTTTGTTATATAAAATGTTTCTAGAATGGACACGGAGTACTCAAATTCTCTGGACACGGAGAAGTACTCTCTGGACACGGAGAAGTACTCTCTGGACACGGAGAAGTACTCTCTGGACACGGAAAAGTACTCTCTGGACACGGAGAAGTACTCTCTGGACACGGAAAAGTACTCTCTGGACACGGAGAAGTACTCTCTGGACACGGAGAAGTACTCTCTGGACACGGAGAAGTACTCTCTGGACACGGAGAGCTCTGAACAATTAACTTCTGACTTCAGTAAAATTATTTATTTGAAGTAATGAAGGTGTTCTTAGCAAGAGCCACGATGGAGACCTACCTCGGGCAGCGTGGTGACCTCGGGCAGCGTGGTGACCTTAGGAAGCGTGGTGACCCTGGGCTCAGAGGTCACTACACCTGTAGGGCTCTCATCTCCTCCTCATTATCCTCTGAAGCTCTTACGTTCCTCCTCCTCCTCGTCCTCCACTGAGGCAGCTACTCCTCCTCTCCTTAAATTGTTTTTCTCAGTTCGGTAATACTGTCTTCGTCTGTTATTTCCTCTAGTTGTGTCTTCTACTCTAGTTCCACCTTCTCTTCCTCCTCGTCTATTGCGCCCGCCGCCGCCACCACCTCTTTCTTGGGCTGAATACAGAGCATCACCAGACGCGGAGTGCTACAGGTGACGCGTCGGAGAGGTCGACACTAGTGGCCCACCTGAGAGGTCGACACTAGTGACCCACCTGAGAGGTCGACACTAGTGGCCCACCCGAGAGGTCGACACTAGTGGCCCACCTGAGAGGTCGACACTAGTGGCCCACCTGAGAGGTCGACACTAGTGACCCACCTGAGAGGTCGACACTAGTGACCCACCTGAGAGGTCGACACTAGTGGCCCACCTGAGAGGTCGACACTAGTGACCCACCTGAGAGGTCGACACTAGGGACCCACCTGAGAGGTCGACACTAGGGACCCACCTGAGAGGTCGACACTAGTGACCCACCCGAGAGGTCGACACTAGTGGCCCACCTGAGAGGTCGACACTAGTGGCCCACCTGAGAGGTCGACACTAGTGACCCACCTGAGAGGTCGACACTAGTGACCCACCCGAGAGGTCGACACTAGTGGCCCACCTGAGAGGTCGACACTAGTGGCCCACCTGAGCGGACCATAATCTCCATCGGTGCCCCCGGAAGCTGGGCCTCGGGCCAAACTATGGCACCCTTGTCACCTTCCTCCTCCACTCTCAACCTCACTCCATCACTCGCAGCGGACAATCCTTCAGAAAAGGCGAATCATCAACTCTCGGTCAATTCGCTCGACGGAAAATAATCTTTAAAACTGATTCAAATATTCAGGGGTTGAATATTGGATAAAGTTTTAATGTTTACAAAGTGCGGCGAGAAGTGGCAGTGGGTGTTGATGGTGGTTGTGCCAAGGTGGTGATACTCGTGGTGGCACTGTGCCTCTCGGGGCGGCGAGAGGGGGAAGCGGCACTGGCAGCGTCCACCCGCTACGACGTCTCGACACACACTGACTGCCCAGCAGGTGCCTGGCACCCGTGCTGACCCGGGAAGCTTTGGTGCCACTGTTGGCACCGCCAACCTGCTGTTCTCAATTGCTGACTTGAGCCACGGTTAGTACCTACCCCTAGAGCCCTAGCCTGGGATAGTACTACTCCCGTGGCTCTCTATGGCACCGTTATTGATCCCGGAGCCATGCTTGGTGAAGGTACTGACCCCGTGACCTGATATTGCCACCACGACCAGGTCATTAGTGTGGTAGGGAGGGTCATGAATACTTTATTGACCCCTGAGGGTATTTGTACCTATTGTTCCTCGTCTGAGACTTGCCGGACCAAACTGGTCGTTGTGGGTCCATGCCGCCCACGTGCTTGTCATGCCGCCCACGTGCTTGTCATGCCGCCCACGTGCTTGTCATGCCGCCCACGTGCTTGTCAGGCCGCCCACGTGCTTGTCATGCCGCCCACGTACTTGTCAAGCCGCCCACGTGCTTGTCATGCCGCCCACGTGCTTGTCATGCCGCCCACGTGCTTGTCATGCCGCCCACGTGCTTGTCATGCCGCCCACGTGCTTGTCATGCCGCCCACGTGCTTGTCATGCCGCCCACGTGCTTGTCATGCCGCCCACGTGCTTGTCATGCCGCCCACGTGCTTGTCAGCCGCCCACGTGCTTGTCATGCCGCCCACGTGCTTGTCATGCCGCCCACGTGCTTGTGCCGCCCACGTGCTTGTCATGCCGCCCACGTGCTTGTCATGCCGCCCACGTGCTTGTCATGCCGCCCACGTGCTTGTCATGCCGCCCACGTGCTTGTCATGCCGCCCACGTGCTTGTCATGCCGCCCACGTGCTTGTCATGTGTGGAAACGCACATATGCTCACTGTTTTCCATTTATCTGTAACTTAAGGGTTCCAAATGACACTAAGGTAACATTGGGTACTTTTGGGTACAAATGGGTATCGGTATCCCTATCCCAGGGGCTGATATCGGTATCCCTATCCCAGGGGCTGATATCGGTATCCCTATCCCAGGGGCTGATATCGGTATCCCTATCCCAGGGGCTGATATCGGTATCCCTATCCCAGGGGCTGATATCGGTATCCCTATCCCAGGGGCTGATATCGGTATCCCTATCCCAGGGGCTGATATCGGTATCCCTATCCCAGGGGCTGATATCGGTATCCCTATCCCAGGGGCTGATATCGGTATCCCTATCCCAGGGGCTGATATCGGTATCCCTATCCCAGGGGCTGATATCGGTATCCCTATCCCAGGGGCTGATATCGGTATCCCTATCCCAGGGGCTGATATCGGTATCCCTATCCCAGGTACTGATATTCAAACCCTGCTTTGCCTGCCTCTTTTCACTTCACTGTTATCCTCGAGGCTTGAGACACTGAAACCCTTTTCTTGCTGGACTCCATTGTGGGTAGAGATGCAAGCAAGTGAAGTTAAATTTGCAGTTGTATAGAACGAATTATCTTCTTGAGGATGGTGTGGTGTGGGACCAGGTCTGCGAACCTTGAACCCATGCAAGTTACTTTAGCAGGTGGGAGACTTGCAATTCTAGTGAATCACAGAGCTCATTCTGCTCCTGTTGACTAGATCACACACTAAAGGGTGAAGGGACGACGACGTTTCGGTCCGTCCTGGACCATTCTCAAGTCGATCACAATCGACTTGAAAATGGTCCAAGACGGACCGAAACGTCGTCGTCCCTTCACCTTCTAGTGTGTGGTCGAGTCAACATACTTCAGCCACGTTATTGTGACTGATTCTGCTCCTGTTTATCCTTACTGTTGGCCGGTCCCTAACCTGATTTGATTTATGCAAGAATGGAAAGTGTTAAATCCCTCTTATGCAGAGTAATCCTAATTCAGTTAAGGGTACCTGACAGTACTTTTGTCGGCGGCGTTACAAACTACGTCCCATCAATCTATTACAGCTGACCTAAAATAATGGCCGGTCTTCTTCTGTAAGCACAGGTCACAAGTCTGCACAGGTCGTGTCCGGCACACTGGACAAACACACGAGAATTTCGTCCTTGAAAGAAACTGAGAAATATGTCAACAAAAATATAGTGTTTCACATTGTGCGTGAGAGAGAGAGATGGACACAGACAGCGAGAGATGCGCGCCGCCTCCGTCTCTAATGGAGAGATACATCTCCCATGAGCGCCAGAGACCCAGCATTACCTTTTCTGTGACGCAAGTTCGAAGGAAAATCTTGAGAGGCGTCTATGGAGGCATTTCTTGTGAATGAGGGGGCCAGATTCACGAAGCAGTTACGCAAGCACTTACGAACGTGTATATCTTTCCTCAATCTTTGGCGGCTTTGGTTACATTTATTAAACAATTTAGAAGCATGAAAACTTGCCAATTAACTGTTGTTATTGTTATAAACGGCCTCCTGGTGCTTCGGAGCTCGTTAACTGTTTAATAATTGTAAGCAAAGCCGCCAAAGATTGAGAAAAGATGTACAGGTTCGTAAGTGTTTGAGTAATTACTTCGTGAATCTACCCCGAGGTCTGCCGCGGGGCGCAATGTGAACTCTTACCCCTATGTATGCCTAACATTGCTTATATTCTGTCATTTAATGAAAAAGGTAAACTTTGAGTTTACACTGTAGGTTTATAATGCCATAATAACCTGATAGGTCGATGATTCTTGCATCTGCAACAATAAATTACTTATTTGACGCGATGTTGTGTATTGTTTCAGGGATGTTTTGTGTTGACAAGTTTCCATATTATCATGGAGTATTGTGTAGTGGTGTAATGTTATCATGGAGTATTGTGTAGTGGTGTAATGTTATCATGGAGTATTGTGTAGTGGTGTAATGTTATCATGGAGTATTGTGTAGTGGTGTAATGTTATCATGGAGTATTGTGTAGTGGTGTAATGTTATCATGGAGTATTGAGTAGTGGTGTAGTGTTATCGTGGAGTATTGAGTAGTGGTGTAGTGTTATCGTGGAGTATTGAGTAGTGGTGTAGTGTTATCGTGGAGTATTGAGTAGTGGTGTAGTGTTATCGTGGAGTATTGTGTAGTGGTGTAGTGTTATCGTGGAGTATTGAGTAGTGGTGTAGTGTTATCGTGGAGTATTGAGTAGTGGTGTAGTGTTACCATGGAGTATTGTGTAGTGGTGTAATATAACCAACACGCCACGCTGCTTCTAGTACCTCGGGAACACTGGGAATTAGAAATCAAATATTTCCTTGGCTGGACTTGGCTGGACTTGGCTGGACTTGGCAGTGTTGATGTCGCAGTCAGGAAGGAGAGGAGGGAAGGATAGTGTTAATGGTGGATAGAGAAGGAGAGTATCAGGGAAGGAATTGTGTAAGGGAGAAGGTGTAAGGGTGAGAGGAAAGTATCTGGGAGAGGATGAGGGAGGGGAGTGTAGTAAGGCGTGGTGGTGGAAACATGAGGGAAAGAGAGGGTAAAGAAGGAGGGAGGGGGAATAAATGAGAGGGGGAGGTGAGAGGAATGCGAGAAGTATGAGGGAGGTGTATTTAGTATGAGAGAGGATGAGGAGGAGGAGGAGGAGGAAAGAGAGGATAGGGGAAAGGGAGGATAGGACCGTTTAACTAGTTTTTGACAGTCCATTTTCCACCTTAATTTCCGGCGGACACCCCCAACTCTGGCCACTCCTCAATACACACCTACCCTCCCCCATCCCAGACTACACACCCCTCCCCACAACTCCCCACCTACAACCCCCCACCCCATCACCTACAACCCCCCCCCCCATCACCCTTCAACCCCCTACCGCCCCCCTTCCAACTCTGTATATATATATATTTTCATTGTTTATTGTGTTAGTGATGTTGTAAGCCCAGGGATTAAACGGGTCGGTCACTGCTGTATTATTTTGACAGATAAACTCTTCATTTTAATGTGTGAAGAAGAGAGGTTGGTCGTCAGTCACCCGCGGACTCTTGTCAACCAAACCTGTACTCTGCCCAGTACTGCACCGGGCCACAATGTGACCCGGAAACACGTCTGTCTGTCTGTCTGTCTGTCTGTCTGTCTCTCTCTCTCTCTCTCTCTCTCTCTCTCTCTCTCTCTCTCTCTCTCTCTCTCTCTCTCTCTCTCTCTCTCTCTCTCTCTCTCTCTCTCTCTCTCTCTCTCTCTCTCTCTCTCTCTCTCTCTCTCTCTCTCATATGGAGGGTGTGTATGGGTGGAAGTATGGGGGGAAGGGACTTGTATATTGGTGACATGCTGATGATGTATTGATGAGGAGGTATCCAGTTGGTGTATGGGATAGTTTTTCTCCCCCACTACCCCCATTTCCCCTCCTCTTCCCCTCTCTGCTTCTCTCCCACCTTTCTTCCTCTTTATCCACTCTCTTTCTCTTCCGCTCTCCCCTATTTCCGTTCCCTTTCTTCCCCGTCTGGCCGTTAACATGCAACAAAACAGACATTTTTCATACAGAGTTCAGGTTCATCCGTTTCTAGTGAAGAACTCTAGCCGGCAAGCCCAGTTTCACTGATGTTGTGGGGAGGTCACTTTTGAGCTGTACCCTCTCTTGGTACAGGAGGGTTTAGCTCTGTACTCCTGGGCGTCACCCGACCAGCCTATGTCCGTCCCGAACCTCAGGCCGTTCACCCTGCAAAGTTGGGTCAGGCTGGCCCCTAAGCATCCAGCCCCGAACCTTGGACACAAAACCAGACATTCTAGCTTATAGATTGTTACCAATGAGGTAGAACTTGTGTTTGGTGACTCCATTAGCATGTTCACCTTCACTGCCTCACTCCCTCACTATCTCACTCCTTCCCTCACTGCCTCACTTCACACCACAACCGGTGCAAACTATCTCGGGTCAAAAACAAACAAACAAGATTTGTTTTGTTTGATATCTGGGTGCTGGCACGCGTTGTTTGTGTGCCTCAGTGTGCCGGCCTACACCACTAGCTCCCCCGTGGTGTGAGTGTACCCGCCTACACCACTAGCTCCCCCGTGGTGTGAGTGTACCCGCCTACACCACTAGCTCCCCCGTGGTGTGAGTGTGCCCGCCTACACCACTAGCTCCCCCGTGGTGTGAGTGTGCCCGCCTACACCACTAGCTCCCCCGTGGTGTGAGTGTGCCCGCCTACACCACTAGCTCCCCCGTGGTGTGAGTGTGCCCGCCTACACCACTAGCTCCCCCGTGGTGTGAGTGTACCCGCCTACACCACTAGCTCCCCCGTGGTGTGAGTGTACCCGCCTACACCACTAGCTCCCCCGTGGTGTGAGTGTACCCGCCTACACCACTAGCTCCCCCGTGGTGTGAGTGTACCCGCCTACACCACTAGCTCCCCCGTGGTGTGAGTGTACCCGCCTACACCACTAGCTCCCCCGTGGTGTGAGTGTACCCGCCTACACCACTAGCTCCCCCGTGGTGTGAGTGTACCCGCCTACACCACTAGCTCCCCCGTGGTGTGAGTGTACCCGCCTACACCACTAGCTCTCCCGTGGTGTGAGTGTACCCGCCTACACCACTAGCTCCCCCGTGGTGTGAGTGTACCCGCCTACACCACTAGCTCCCCCGTGGTGTGAGTGTACCCGCCTACACCACTAGCTCCCCCGTGGTGTGAGTGTACCCGCCTACACCACTAGCTCCCCCGTGGTGTGAGTGTACCCGCCTACACCACTAGCTCTCCCGTGGTGTGAGTGTGCCCGCCTACACCACTAGCTCCCCCGTGGTGTGAGTGTACCCGCCTACACCACTAGCTCCCCCGTGGTGTGAGTGTGCCCGCCTACACCACTAGCTCCCCCGTGGTGTGAGTGTACCCGCCTACACCACTAGCTCCCCCGTGGTGTGAGTGTGCCCGCCTACTCCACTAGCT